GAGAATGCATGGTCAAGGTTTTTAATGAGGTACCATCAAATAATAAAAATCATTATTTTCAAGGTTTGGAATCCTGAAGGTATGCAATTCGTCACTATTAATATTATTATTAATTTTTTTTTAGTTTTGATAATTAATAAGTGATAATAACTTATTAAGTATGCATATGAAAAATGCGAACGTGAGAACGATATGTAATTAAGTATTCTAAAATGGAAAAGTAATTATTCATAAGATGAGCGTGGCCACATGGAGATTGGCATAATTGGTAGTGTTGAAAATATGAACATCATATATATATATATATATATATATATATATAAGGGGTTACTCAAGTGAAAACACTTATCAATATGAGAATAATTAATAATAATCTTTAGATTAAAATAAATGACTTAGATTAAAAGATATTACCATGTACTATTATTATCATAGTTCTTTTGTTATTATTGTCTTTATTCTCGTTATTACAAATTTTCAATTGGCCCCATCATCACCTCTCCCACACTATTATCATTGTTGTTGTTGCTACTACAACCACTACAACCATCATCATTGTCACCAAAATTGTCTATGGTGATAATAATAGTGATGGTCGTAGCAGTGCTAGTGATTGGGGTGGTGATATGGCAAAGGTCCAATAGAGATAAAGGTGATAAAGATAGCGATAATAAATTCTTTTCTCATCATCATCATCATCATCATCATCATCACGACTTCTTGCATTCTATTATGGTTGTATTGGCCCTTTCGGCCACCGAAAAGGCCTAGAGCAAAGATAACAATAAATTCTTTGTAGTTTTAGTGGCATCATATCGACCATCTCGGTTGTCGAAATAATCGAGACCAAGATATCGATTCTTTACTATTGGATGGCTCGACATATGATTTCATTATTCTTATGGTACATATCCCATTATGAATATTAAAGCAACACACAAGTTCAATCAAGAAATTACTACAAAGACAAACCAGAACAAATTTTTAAAAATAGCATAAAAAGGTAACATAAATTTATGATTAATATATTTTTCAAAATTTCAAGCTTTTTAGGTGATAAGAATAATTAAAAATTCAAATTCATTTGGGTCGAACTACTCCATTTTGACATCTTAAATTTGGCCCGTTGTCATAACTCAACTCAATAGTGGGCCGATATAAATAGCATACTTAGATCCCTTCGATGGAGGTACTTTGGAGCTTGATTTGTGTGTGCATCCTAATTAATTGGTTCTATTTGGCTTTGGGTAAACGGTTAAGAGATGGTAAACAAGCCATTTTTTTGGAGCAATATATGGATCAATTGGTACTTAGGTATGATGGACGTGTTTCCAAGGTTACATCGTGTAATTAAAGAAATTAAAAAGTGTTACAGTACCTAACATGGGAGTATGGAATAGTGAGGAATGGTCATGGAGGTAAGCATTAGCTAGAAACTCTTTTACATGGGAAGAGTGGTCTTGAAGTAACGAATTTGCTAAGTTCAGTTTCTCTTAAGGACAAATCAGACTATTGGATGTGAAATCTAGATTCATCGAACTCATTCTCAATAAAATCCTGTTATTCTTATTTGATTAAACAAACTTCTAATATAGCTCTTGGCCGTGTAGCAGCCAATTATTGGACACAAGGCCATCGCATGCGTTCTATGTAGGAAGAAACCTTGAGACCGTAATCACACCTTTGTAGCTTGTCCCGTCATATCTCAAGTATGACAATCTTAGTACGCTAGGGTTGAAGTGAACCAAAAAAAAATGCTAGGGTTGAAGTAAACATATAAAAAAAGGTATGGTTGAGCTAGTGTTTTTAACTTATTAATTCTCAAATTAACAGCTTTAATATTTATTAATTACTCATTAAAATATATATAAATAATTTTTTTATATTATTATTTTTAAATTTTTATCTTTATATGTTACTCACTAAATATAATGTAATTTAAGTGATAATAATTTATTGTATAACATCAAAATTTAACAATTAATAAATATTAAATTGACAGTAGAAATAAAATTTCATATTTTAAAAAATAAGAAGACTAAATCTCTCCATTTTAAAATAAATAGATTAAAATTGTGGATTGATAAAAATAAAAAAACTAAAAGTGCAATCTAATCTTGTTTATTTATACGTGATGATGAGTTATGAATAAAATTACTAAAATAATTTCGTGCAATGTTTGTAAAAAATAGGTTAACTCAACTTTATTCTAAGATGATTTATATTTTTCTCGACTCAATTTGATTTGTTTATATATATATATATATTAAAAAAATGTTATAAAATATGTGATAACTTTTGGACCTAAATTTCATGGTCACAGCCTTGGCCGTTTGACTCGGTGAATAAGTCCATTTTTCACAACTCTATTGCATTGCATGGAAACGAGTTCCCCTCATTTTTCACGTTTGTACATATCCAAACCTGTTGACTGACTAACTAGTTGGCTCCCTTATCGGGCTTCCACTACTATATTTTAATGTATTAGCAACATTTTCTTGTTTATATTTATTAAAATATTATTAATTAATTTTTAAAATTAAAGTCCCAAGTAAAAAAAAATTACATAAGTTATTTTGTAACATTTTTTTGAAAAACATTATTATAATTGTTTCTAAAATCAAAGTCCCACATCGAGTCAAAAAAAGTATATTTCTCTTATATCTAATTGTAACTCATAATTAAAGTTTCACATCGAATAAATTAATGACTCATAAAGAGTATATATACTCATATAGTTATACTTAAGATAAATAAAATTTGATATTCTATATATAATTAGTAGTGACTAACTAAAAATGTTTTTCCCTAAAAACTTAAGGAATTCCTAGAAATTTAGTTTAGAAGACATAAAAAATATAATAATTGATAGTAATATTTAAATTAAAATTAATTATTATTTTATAAAGTTATCAAAATCTTGACAACATTATTAAAATGTTACAAAAAATTATTAAAATGTTACAAAAATACTACTTTGGTAACATTTAGAAGCGGGAGACGTAAATTTACGTCGGGGCGCGAAAATCGGCGTAAATTTACGTCGGGAAACTGGACTTCATCACTTCCTTCTCCTTCTACAGCTTCAAAAACTCGAACCTCCCCGAAAAAAAACATCACAAAAAACACAAACTTGATGGAAGATGCTACCTCGTAGAACCTCCCTGAAAAGCCCATGACCACGCGAAGAAGAAACAGAAGAAGGTGTAGATGAATGCCATGAAGGAGGAGGCGCGGGAGAAGGAAGAAAAACAGAAGAAGGAGGAGGAGGCGCGGGACAAGGAAGAAAAACAGAAGGAGGAGGAGGAGGCGTGGGACAAGGAACAACCATGAACATTTTGAAATTTAACTAGTGCGCCTCACCTTTTAACAGGTTATGGGGGTTATTTACGTCGGCCCTAATTGGGTCCGACGTAAATTTTAACATCTACGTCGGACACAATGCTTAACCAACGTAGATGTTAAAATTTACGTCAGACCCAATTAGGGCCGACGTAAATAATTCAACAAAATTACACTGCATGCCACCGCACTTTTTTAACGTCGGGTTTTCGTGTTTCCGACGTAAATTTAGTGACGTAAAAGTCTATTTTTGCACTAGTGAATAAAATTTGATATTCTATATATAATTAGTAGTGACTAACTAAAAATGTATGTTTTTCCCTAAAAACTTAAGGAACTCCTAGAAATTTAGTTTAGGAGACATAAAAAATATAATAATTGATAGTAATATTTAAATTTAAATTAATTATTATTTTATAAAGTTATCAAAATCTTGGCAACATTATTAAAATGTTACAAAAAATTATTAAAATGTTACAAAAATACTACTTTGGTAACATTTAAAACATGTTACCTAATTATACAAAAATGTTATTAAAAGTCTTTAGCAATATGGATTATATACAACATTTGATAATATGTTACTAAAATAAATTAGCAATATTTATACATAATTAAATAACATTTTTTAAATGTTGCTAAATACCATTTGTGTTGTAGTGTTTTTCAACAACTTACCATACGATACGAGGTATCCCTTCCAAATTCAAGTTGAGTCGTGTTTGGTAGGTGAAGTAGGGTCGACTCTAACATCGTCTATGGCTGCTTTCTTCAAATAATTACCAAACAAATTATTAGTTGAAAGTGTTTTATTGGATCACTTCCTTACGGCGTAATGTAACTGTCATTGCATGCTTCCAGTAAATATGCGTATCTGATCATGAGATTCTCTAATTGAAAAAAGTCTTCTGTACATTTAGCAATATAAGGTGGATTACATGATAAAAGAAGAATTATCTCCGATTAGAAATTCAAATGATGAATATTTTTTTATTAATAAGATTCTTTTTATTATTGGACAATAGTATTTCTATTAAATATTATAATGATATCGATTAATTCTTAAAACATTTAATATACTTCAATAAATATTTCTAACTCTTAAAAGATATTAACATTTTTAATATGATAAATATTTTCCTATTTTTATATCCAGCAAATTTAACAGTTGCCTCCTCCAATATATAAATATTCACGATGGAGTTGGTTATGTGTTAAAAATATATATTATTAGTATTTATTATCATAAGTCATGATGCATAATAAAATTGTTGACTTAATTTATAATAATCAGTTTAAAAGTTAGATTAATGTAAAAATCTTAATTAATTTGGATGTATATATATATTCTAATTGAATAATTAGTTTACAATCTTTACACTCAATATATATATATATATATATCTATATAGACACACACACACACACACGCACACACACACACACACA